AAGTTTAAAGCAAGCAAGAAGAAATCATAAACGTTAATGTGCCATTTCATGTTGTTTCTGATGTTTTTTGTGTTCTACGTACGGGAGAACGTTCCAACACACGTGAGAACGTTCCAACACACGTGTTCTTCATAAGGGAGAACGTTCCAACACGTGTGTTCTTCATAAGGGAGAACGTTCCAACACGTGTGTTCTTCATAAGGGAGAACGTTCCAACACTTGTGTTCTTCATAAGGGAGAACGTTCCAACACGTGTGTTCTTCATAAAGGAGAACGTTCCAACACTTGTGTTCTTCATAAGGGAGAATGTTCCAAAGAACACAAGGAATCGCACGCCACGTGCGTACTCAACATGGAATACAGTTTTGGTCATCTTAGAATTCAAATAAAAATTGTCGACTCATATAGAATTGATATATCTAAAAGATTTGACGCCTCTCCCACCTGCAATCAGCATCATTAAATGTCTCCCCATATTTGTATCGTTACTGTTTAAATGTTAATTATAATTTAGTTTTCAATGCACTGAGAGTAAATTTGATTAACCTGTTTATAGTGCCGCCTTCAACTTGACACCAATTAATTGTTATCATTTGGTAAAGTTTACAATACCGTTAAAAAAGAATCTATCTCCGAACTCAATACAACAATTTTGTTGAAAATATTTGTGATAAATAATTCTTGATCTCATTTATTTTAAATAGTAAAATGTATTTTTATTTGTAAAAGTCAAGGGTCGGCAACCTTTCCATTCTGAGGAGCCATCTTAATAAATTATATGATTTTTTTAAAAATCATCTATATCAACTTCTTTTTTGTTCATGGCTGGCTGACAAAAGGAACAGTTGAGGCGACGACAATTGGCACATTTGCGTCTATTGCCTCAGGCCTTCCAACCCCCCCGTGCATGACACCCTCACAAAGTGGCGCTAGCAACCACTGAAATATCCTCATTAACACCAGTCACAGAAACATTGCAAATCCCCTCTACATGCATAGGAGTCAAAATGATCAATAAATTGATCGTGGCCCCCTAATATATAAATCTCATTGCTCTAAATGAGATTCTTTTAAAAAATATATCTTCTGGTGCGTAATATTTTCTCTAGTTATATTTTCTAGAATAGTTAGTGCAATAAATATACTGTGTAAAAGCGAGTGGGTCATTAGACTATTCATATAGATTGCGAGCCTTAAAAGATGGGGGTGGGGGGGGGGCACTAATTGGGATTCTTATAGAGTGCGTTACTTGTATGCTTGTTTTGTGTTATTTTCAGCCCTAACCCTATTGCTCTATATTACATTTTATAAAGGATCGCGGGTCGCCAACCACTGTCCCAAGTACAAGGTAATGGTATATATTTGATATTCGAATGAATTTATATATTTTGTTTTGGGGCTATTTACACTCACTTTTTATTGCGAAACTTTTTTTTTTTTTTTAATGATAATTGACTCTTTCGCTCAAGAAACATAAAATTAGGGAGGATTAATGCTTAAGATGTTTACAAAATTGAAATAATCCGACGAACTGATTCTGTATCATTCCGACATTTATTAAAGTATATACATACAAGGAAAACATCTTTCCCATTTTTATCCGAATTCGTGTCTCAAGATCGTTTTCCTTCTGTACATTTTTTTTTCGTTTCTTTATTAAAATATAAAACTGAAACATACTGTTGAATGGAAAATTATATTTAGTGATACACTGTCAGGTAGATTAAGAACAAAATCCATGGAATTAAAGTTATACTCTTTAGAATAATTTTTATTGGATATCATTAAAATATATAATAAACACTTACATTTACAATAGTGCATGGAAATGCTAACAACAGCAAATAAATCAATTTTTAAACAATAATAATAATATTAATAAATATTCTAATTGCATTTTTTTGCTGGTTAAAAGGGACCTCAAAATTAGAATAGCCAGGGGCCTCGAGAAAGCCGAATCTGGCCAGCGGTGGGGTCGATTTTCAAAGGATCTTTCCTTCTGTCACTGGTTTTCGTGAATTCATGTTTTGTTTTTGTTTGTTGGTTTTTTTTACAGCTTTGCAAATATAATATAACGGGGGTTCCCAGACTTTTCTAGGCACCGCAGACCTTAAACTTTTTTTTTACTAAGTCTTGCATCCGTTACCAATAATTCTCTTACTAAGTCTCGTACTTCTTTAAAAGACATAATGCATTTTAAAACTGAACAAAAAATGAATTTATGTATTTTTAAAATTTATATTCAAAGAGAACTAAAGAATTTACAAAAAATTACATTATATCGTAACTTTAAGTCAGTAGTTCCTCTGTTATTTTATTTATTTTTTTTAAATCGTTACACCCGTTGAAATGCCGTCTCGCACGCCCTCCGGACGTATACAAAGGTATTCGGTGAATTTGTGGTTTGAGAGTAATTTTGGATTTTCTTTAAATGACGGTTTGTTGCACCGTAATACACACACACGCAGAGCGAGAGAGAGAGAGAGAGAGAGAGAGAGAGAGAGAGAGAGAGAGAGAGAGTTTAACTAACGCCATCTTGATCTACTACTTGCTGACGGCATAAGAAGGCTGAATAAAAGGAAAGTCATGTAACACAATAACATGGATTTAATGATAGATCTCTTGTAATTAAAATTTTTATTTAGTTTTTCTATGCCAGGTTTTTTAAATTTTATTATTATTAATGTTTATTTATTTTTATTTTTTTTTGTTCCCGAAAACTTTAAACTTACTAATAAGCCTTGTATAGCAGGATAGATGAAGAGTCCCAAATCACTTGACAATAAGTATCCTCCCTGACCCTTCGCAAAGACACTGGCTCCAGGATGACCTTCCAATCTAACTAACGTTGTCTTCGCAGAGTTTTGCAGCTAAAAAAATTATTCGCTACAACCCCACCCACCCCCACACCCCAACTCCTTTTTTTCCTATATAAATGATACCAACCGAAGTAACGGAAATGATTGACAAAATAATCTATAGTTACACACCCACAAAACAAAAACACAACAAAAAATGAACACAAAAAGTCAAGTTAAACTCATCACACGGTAAAAGATGTCAAACTACTATAACTGACTTTCATTCAGACCTTGTCATGCATGACCTCATGGCTACACTAGTATGCCCCTCACTGGTCTAAAAATTAAATATATGCAGCTGTGTATTAAGGGTTTTTGTGGTGAAGGGCGCAAATTAAATGCCAGGTGCCAATGATTTGACAATTTGACAAGTATGTGACAGGTGCCCAAAATGTGACATTTGCCAATAATGTGACAGGGGACATAATGTGATAGTGGCCAATAATAATTGTACTGGTGTCTAACATTGAACAGTTGCCTTTAATGTGAGATGTGCCCATAAAGTGTTAGTTGAAAAAAATTAATTTAGTCTCATCTGCCAACAATGTGATATAAATACAACATTTTGCTAGATAAAATATATCTAAATTTGGCGAATAGAAAGAAACAAAAACATCATCAGTGGGCCGGCGAAAGAGGGGGGGGGTGAGTAGAGCGGATAATGCGTACTCAGTAGCCTGCCACTTACAATCAACCCGGTCGTCACGGTTGGGTACTCATAGATGTGTTACGTTATCAGTTTGACCTTTGTGCCGTTCGTGGTAGGTCATAGCCGTCAGCTGTAAGGGAAATAATCAAGGTTTAGTGTGTAAAAAAAAAAATGTGTTGGATTAAGCTAATCCCCAAACGTATGCCCGTCAGGTGCCCTTAAATAACCTGGCCCGCCTTGCCGCAGTATCAGGGTACCTTGATAGCAGCGAAAAATTTGGAACTGCCGTTGGTCATTTCATTAGCCAGAACAGGCCCATAATTCACATTGATATTTTTTCTTTAAATTTTGAGTTATCGGAAATAAATTCTTATCCATTTTAAATAGTACATTGTTTTATTTTGATCTTTTTTTTTTTTTACAGGGGTTATTTTACTAATATAGGAATTCGTTCACACATAGTCCAGCTCCCAACGCTGTTGGGGGGGGGGGGAACTGTACGGTCCGCGACAGTAACTGAGGGACTCTAAACCGGCAGCCTGTTAAAATAGTAGTGAGGACCAATGCTCCCTTTAAGCTGCGCGGCTGCGAATCTCACAGACGCCGCGCAGCAGTTTTGAGTATCGCGCAGCTAATTTCCACTTAAAGGTGTGTTTGTGTCTGTAGGCTGAAAATTTTGCGCACAAAAAAATTGACGCTGTAAAAATGTGCACACAACTTTATGATTTTTCACACGAACCAACAAACGTTAGCGGGAACATTGGTGAGGACCCCTGAGCTGATATATGATCAAGAATGAGCAATACATTGATCGTGGGCCCTCAGAATATAGTAGAAGAAGAAAATTGGTCAGAAGAATTTTCAAAACGTTTTTTTTTGGAAAGAAAAAGTTAGCCTCTAAGACTATCACATTTTAAAAATGACTGCCACGTAGAAAGGGTATACAGTTACACCCACTTAGAGTACCGTATATGACATACGGCTTCTTGAAAATGATAATTTCTATTGACAATACACACAAGTACAGCCGGTTGAATTAAGCCACAAATTCTAAGACTTTTGCCGGAAAGTTTCTTAAAACTTTAATTACCTTAGAGTTAGTATGTCTAGATTTTGTGACGCTCGAGGTGGGGTGGGGGGGGGGGTTGTTGATTTGGCCGCCTTGCCCGATGGAAAATAACACAGCCTTCAGAATAATAATCAAACATATACCTTATAGAAAAAAAAGGTGCCGTCTATGGTGGACCACCCCATTCGCTCTCTCTTACTACGTCAATGCTGAGAGGATATGTTTACCATTATCTCAGAAAATTCCCCCGCTCAAAATTAGGTCTAAAATGTTCAACGTTAGTTCAAGTTTTTTTTTGTTTTTTTTTTGTGTGGGTCAACACGATTAAAAGAAGTGAAAGTCTGCATTTTTCTTATGAATGAGAGCACCCGTTAAAGGGGGTGAGGGTGAGGTGGTTAGACAACGACTTACCTGTAACGTAGGCAGATTGGTAATCATGTGAGTATTCAGCTGAGGGCGAGCAGTAGACAGAGTTTGGTTTGGACAACTCCTTGATTGCCTCGCCCTGGAGGAACTTACGCACCAACAGCTGCCCGATGAATACAGCTACGGCCGTACCTATAATGGAACATGCGGCTGTGATCCCGACAACGGCACCGACTTCCGGGCAAACTTGTGTCATCGAAAATTCCGTTTCAGTCGTACTGTCTGTGGTCATTTAAAGTGTTCAATGTTAAAAATGCTTTAACTTTAATTAGTGCAAGAAAAGGAACTTAATCAAGCTAAAATTTAAATTTTTTAAGATGATAGCTGATTGAATTAAAATATTGTAGGTGCAATACATTGTTTTGAAATTCAAATCACATTTTCGTATAAATTGTGCAAAAAGCGTTCAAAACCCTGAAAAAATTGATCAGGTGGGCAGGTCTGCAAACACTCACTTATTGTACGAACGCCAACGGTTAGATTGGTCCTGGACATCTCTAGATTACCATCTTTGACAACACAAATGTACGTTAAGCTGTAAGGCGCTACAAAGAAGTTCAAGGACGATTCGTGCCGGATGCGCTCACAAGGCTTTCCAGTGGGTGGCAAATCGTCGACTTCATTGGTCACTGGATAAGAGGCACAGCTGAATCCATTACGAGGACACCATAACCAATGGATGCGAATGCTAGGAGGACCCTAAAATAAAGCAAAGTAACGTGCAATATTTAAGTAAGTAAGTATTCTGTTAAATGGGGTTTGGGGTGGGAGGGAAATGGCTCTATTTTATAACAACTTTGGCTGGAGACTGCAGGACACGCTACCTATAAGCAGAGAATTTAAAGTGATATTTAATAATGCTGAGGAGATATCAAATGCACCGCGTCTCTTTATACGCAGACTCCATGTCTGCGCCGTCATTATTAATTGTATCAATTGTTGTGTGAAGTGGAGTAGATACTTTTGACTGAAGTTTTTGCGCACTCCGACCAAAAGAGTTTTGTTTAAGATTGAACGACCCCCCCCCCCAACCCGACCCCCGCCCCCCAAAAAAAACAGCTCTCAGCCATCACTATTTTGATAATATAATAATATCTGCGCTAACCAAACAAGATGACAGCAGCTTTGTATAATATATATTTAATGAGTGGCGTGGCTAGGTTTAGTGCCACCTGGGGTGGCGGAGATGGCTTTTGCCCCCCACTCCCCAACCCAATAAAAAATTGAGCAGTTGACCGAAAATTCCATCCCTCAATCGAAAAATATAAGTGCCACCCTATGTGGAACGGCCCTTCTTTCCTACGCCATTGTATTTAATGGTCTTTTCTTCCGTTTGAAGATAAATAATATTTACCAAAACGGAACAGGTCAACGTCATGTTTAAGCCAGCTTCGTTTTCTGAGTTGAAAGGATTATTTCCCATATGATTGTTGGACTTCATCACCGGAGCCTCTGTTTTAACTGATAATGTACAACAACATGAAAGAAAAAGTTAGTTATTTATTTGACGCACAAATTTTCTGTAATAATAACGAAGTAACGACGGGAATGTATATACTACACACTCCTGCACTGTTGTTAATGCCACGAAGTGGAAGTGTTTGTTTCCATATTTTTTTTTCTGGCTTCCACCCATCACAATATGACGATGGTGTAGAGTTCACAGGACGAAATAACAAGGCTGGTGATTTTTCTTTAGAAGGATAAGCTGGTTCCCTATACAGCAAATCTCCCCTCTCCGCAGTACCTGGATAACTCAAGGGAAATCATGCGTGGATGATACAGCTTGGGACTATTAGCATCGCAGGAGTTCCCGGAATTTTCATACGGATCTCGGTGTTTTGAATTCAGAGTTTTCCTTCTCTTAAATGAGTTGCCGTCCAAGGTTAACGAGTCCGATCAACCCGAGGTTTTTAACTCCGCAATGGTTGGTTCCCAAGCCCGGGTGCAAAAGGAGGAGGTTCGACGTGAGGCCAGCTACCTCACCCGTAATAAACAAACTGCTACAGAAACGTCAACAAGAAGAAAACAAAAACAATTTCAGACCTGATAAGAGAGGTGTCTACTTCCCCAAGAAGAGTTATGAAGCCTTGCGATCAAAGCAAGGTTATGCTGGAAGCCTCAAAGCCGAGGACCCTCCTTTCAAGGCAATTAACAAAGGCGCTTGAAATGTTAGCAACATGAATGACACTGAAAAATCAGCTAAAGTGGCAGAACATACAACCTCCTACTGCTTGTTATCTATGAAACAAGATAGACACCAGTTTTTAGCATTGATTTCGGGAGAAACACTAATATACTAAGGGCATGAGGAGGAAAATGCTCCACGCACACAAGGAGTCGTTTTTCGTGCTGACGTGGATGGCACAAGATGCATTGATAGGATGGGGAACCCATGGTCCAAAATTAATACATAATCTTTCCGAACCAAGAAGCAGAAAACAAATATGATTTTAATACAGTGCTATGCACCCACAAACGATAGTAATGAAGACGGATACGAAATTTTCTACAATAGACTACACACAATATTGGAAAACTTTCCAGGAAGATATCTGAATATCTTAATGGGACATCTAAATGCTTAGATTGAAAAAGAAAACAGTGGATACGAAGAAATTGCTTCAAGCCTTCAAACCCCCAGGGCATGATTCCCTCACAAAGTAGCACTTATTGCAATCAGTGAAATATCCTCATCAACACCAGGCTCAGAAACATTGCAAATCCCCTATACATGCATAGGAGCCAAAATGATCAATAAATTGATCGTGGGCCCTTAAGATATAGAAGAAGAAAAAGAAGAAATGGCCAAAACCATCACCAACAAAGACTTACTGGAAAGGACATACCAGGAGCATATTGCTGAAAACAACATAAGGGGAATATGGAGGACAGATAACCTCACCAGACAATGCTGACATGGAATCCACAAGGAAAAAGAAAGCGAAAAAGGCCTATGAGAATACATGGAGACGCGAGCTAGAGGCAGACAAACAAAGTATGGGATACACCTGGAAGCAACTAGAAGGGAAAGCACTGGACCGAGATGAATGGAAAATTCTTGTAGACGGCCTATGCCCCAGACGGGGTAAAAGGGATAAGTAGTAAGTATTTAAAATTTTAACTAGATATGATTCACATTATAAGTAAGTTGTCTATTTGGTTAAGTCTGTCATTTTATAAGTATCCCTCGTAAATCTACTCTCTAAGACTATCGAAGCTGTGTGTTTAGATATTCAAACATAGGATTGTTGGTAAAGAATTATCCTGAAAGTTATTACAGAGGTAATATATAACTGAACTCTTCATTACAACTTCCACATGAACTTCATATAGAAAATTGATCTATTCATCTCAAGCGTCAGCTCTCTTATACCCTAAGATTGTTCATGGACAGTTTGAGGATTTAAATATATGCATTTAAATGTATGGTTTAGATATGATAGGGACAAAAAGAGTCAGACTAAAGTGATACTGATATGGACAAGAATGTAGGCTATGACTAATTTAAAACGATATGGCGACACATAAGATATGACCAAAAGTGCGCGTATATGCATTTTTCTTTCTCAAATAAATATAGCAAAAAACTAACCTTTAGCAGTAATATTTTGAGAACGGCTAGCGGTGACTATACCAGATGTTGGTACAAATGAAGCATTACAAATGTAAACTCCGGCATCACTGCACCTGGCATCGGTCACGGACAGTGAGAGTTTGATAGTCTTTCTGTTATTATCTGGATCAGAAATAAGGCCGCGACCACCGCTAGCTTCAATCTTCCAATTCCTACCACTTGGTATGCTTTTCTATTACAAAAAAACAAGTGTGTTACATCATGAATTACACATGTTATACAAAAGATGTTTTAAGTCAATGACTTTCGAAACGCTTTAATGATGTCACTTCTCTCCCTAAATAAATATTCATTTAAAAAGTATTTGTTAAATTGTTTTTAAATACATCAATTTTAATTTTATGCAAAGCGCACTATAAATTTTTTTTTTAAATTTAAGAATTTAAAAAATGAAGGAAAAATAATATATTCTAGTCAAATAGGATCAATTCAATTTGAGCTTCTGTAAGGGATATAAAAAATGTTATTGATGAAGATTAGAACTACAACGCCTTTGTCTTACTTACAAACTTTTCTTCATGCATCTAAATTGAAAGCACATTTCCTATATCATCCCTCATCCTTCGTGACTTTCTCTCTCCTCCCATTTTCTCTCACGTATTTTTGTATCTCCCATCCTTTTCTCTTTACCTCTTGAACGCTTGCCTCATTTCCTCATACAACTTGACTTATCATATCCGATAACCCCATTTCCATTAGATAAATTGATTCTCTCACCCACGCCCCTTTCATATCCCAGTTACTGCGCCCCCCCCCCACACACACACACACTTGCTCACCCTCCCTTAATCCCTATCAATGATTATCTACTGTGGCAACCCAGTTTACTTTAATAGCCTCTGTTTTAAAGCCATCGTTCTGTTCTTGCATTTCTTTGAGACTAAAATTCAAGTCAATGGCGAATAGCGTAATGTAGTTGAAAGTTTCTTATAACTTGGCAGCACACTGAACAAAAGAGCCAGCGAAACTGTTGGACACATGTTCAAGATTATATGAACCAGATGAGGCATCAGCACCTATACTAAGTTAAAAGTCTACAAGGCTGATGTGCAGCATAGCCTACTCTGTTCTTCCGAGGCTTGGAAGTCTACGAACGTCACGCCAGAAAGCTGAGCCACTTGAAACGTCGTGACAAGGTGCAATGAGATTGTACCTAGCTTTTTTACAATTAAGACTTAATCCCTGCTACGCTGAGTGGAATATGTCAGAGAATGTCAAACCTCTGACTGCCTACAAAAATTATTTTTATCAAGCTTGAGCACGACAGGAAACGCTTTAAAGACACACTTAAAGCCTCACTGAAAGCCTCAATGAAAGCGTTCTGCTCAAGCCTAGACACATGGGAACAAACAGAGCCCCACGGCACACAAAAACTCTTTGCTACACAAGACCAGCAGAACAGCTGCTTTATAAAAGCAAACGACAAACCAGACTAGCCAGAGAGTCTCGTGCACCTCTGCACACACACACACACACACAAAAGTTCGTGCCTTGATTGGTTCATCAGTCATCAGCGCACCCACAGACATAATCAGCCCCACGAATGATCGGACGATTAAAGTGGTCCTCTTTGAGTCTATTTATTCCGCTAAAGAATATTCTTCTTCTTATATTTGAGGGCCCACGATTAATTTGTTGATCATTCTGGCTCCTGGTTTAAATTCAGAGTTTGCCATCTCTTATAAGACTCACACGTGCATTTTTGATGTGCATCTATTTACTGTACTTCCACTTACTAACATAATTAAATAAAAAATTAAATCAGTAAATTTAATTTAAAAGCAAGAGTCAGCTCTTTAAAAGTTGGACTTTTACGATGTATCTTTTGATTTCTTTAACACAAGTTTAAAAAACATACTGTTAAATTTTTGCTTAGTCCTGGTGAATAAGTAGCAATCAATGTCGTCTGTGTTGCTGTGTCGGCAACTCTCTCAAGAGACAAATAATAAATCAATGTTACAGCTGAAGGAATAGCTAAACGGCTGGCGTCACACGTGACTGTAAATGTGCCCCCATCTTCAATAGGCTGTATGTCCACAAGTTGGCTGTGTGCTTGGAAATAAAACCCACAGTGAAGAGAAAATTATGAGGGAGATTATCAATATTAATGAGTGAAAATACAGAATAAGATATAATAATAATTTTAAACCATAACAATTGAAAGAAAATACTTAGAGAGGATTTTCCTTAGTAAGAAAATTGTAATTATTTTGTTATTCCGTCGTTATCCCGCAGACTATTGTTTTCTTTCAGAGACTGTTACTTTTTTTCTGGAGACTTTTAGAGAGGGAGAAAGGAATAGATGGATAGATGGATGGATGGATGGATGGATGTATGGATGTATGGATGTATGGATGGATGATGGATGATTGGATGGATAGATAGATAGGTGGATGGATGGATGGATGGATGGAAGGGTGGATGGAAGGGTGGATGGAGGGATGGAGGGGTGGGTGGGTGGGTGGAGGGGGGATGGGTGGGTGGGTGGAGGGGTGGATGGATGGAGGGAGGGGGGGAGTGAGGGAGGGATGGATGGATGGATGGAGGGAGGGAGGGATGGAGGGATGGAGGGAGGGATGGAGGGA